CAGATCTCTGTGTACATAAATATTCACTACCGTTAGCGGATAAACTTATGCTTAGGGAGACAACCGATAGCATAAATCAACGCGGGAAAGCTACCAGTACATGGGAAATTAATACTTGTATTCAAAAGTGGAGTTCAAATATGAACAGAATCATAAAGAGCACGGGGGAAATGCATGCTACTAGTCCCATTGCCCGAGTCAAATACTTCCAAGTCAGAAAAGAAAAGGTGGGGATAAAGCTTATATTCTATTGCATGTAGACAGAAACTGGCAGTTCTCCACGCTACCGCCACCCCACCACCAACACCCTCCCGTAAAAGTCAAGATTAACAGATGAGAGGCACTAGAAATTCAACTAACTGTTCAAAAACCATGTCTCGTCACCCTTACAATTAATGCCAAACTCTTAAAAACCCATGCCTTGTTACCTTCACAATGCCTATATATAGGTTACCACTTCAAGCATTTCCAGTCAAGCATACTTGTTTCTCATACAGTGATCAGTGACAAGGATAAACATACACGTTGAGCCGTACGTGAGAGAATAATCTGGAAATGGCGAGTCCAACATTGTTAGGGACTGCTTTCCTGGTCTTGCTTATTGCAGACCTCACCCTCGCTGCTAGGACACTACAGGCAATCAGTGGAGGTGGAGGTGGAGGGCAGGGAGGAGGTGGCGGCGGTGGTTCTGGATCAGGACTTGGATCAGGTTATGGTTCTGGGTCAGGATACGGGAGAGGTGAAGGATATGGTGCTGGTGGTCGTGGTCGTGGAGTAGGCGGAGGCGGCGGTGGAGGCGGTGGAGGTGGTGGTGGCGGTGGTGGGGGATCCGGCAGTGGGTCGGGAAGTGGAAGTGGAAGTGGGTCGGGAAGTGGAAGTGGAAGTGGGAATGGAGGTGGAGGAGGAGGAGGAGGTGGCGGTGGCGGTGGCGGTGGAGGAGGAGGATCTGGCTCTGGCTATGGCTCTGGCTCTGGCAGCGGGTCAGGTTATGGCTCTGGTTATGGAGGAGGGAAAGGAAAATGATTGCCTTGAACACAAAATTAGTTACATTTTCTTTTATATAACACCATTCACAGTCATTTGTATTCCGAAATAAAATTGCAGGAGCTCAGACATGCAAGAACATAGCATGTTGGCGAGTGATTGCAACTGTGCATGCGTGTATCGCTATCAATAAAGTCACCTTTTCAAATGCTATAAATAAAAGAAAACATTTTAATTACTCTCTATATTTTACAGACAATCTCTCTGCAAACAATGTTACGTTTCCATAAGAACGAGACTTCATCACAGAAAAGGACTTCAAATAGAATTAAAAGAAATGAGCTTGAACTCTCAAAAATTGAAAATCTCCTCCCCGAAACTCAAGAATGGCGCAGTGTTGAATTTGATCGTGTCACAAGTGAAAATAGCCAACCTCAATGCATGACTGCCAAGAAGAATTCCTTAGTAAAAGTCTGACCTGGTTTCCAATCATCTTCGGTGTTAAAAATCAATTATCTCTCTCTACCGAAATGTCACGCAGAGTTTATGATCCCTCACCGAAGGCGGCCAAAAGGCTATTGGAAGCTGCAGAGTGAGTTTTACAACCAATGAACCACCAGTAGCTAGTTCCGCTCAACAAATATTCTGAAAAGCTAGTTAATTAGACAAGTCGTATTGGTATTTCATAAAATGGTCATTCTTAGAATAAGAAATGTCTAACAAATAACACGGAATCAGAAAAGCCTAACAAGTGATACAGAATCAATCATGCTCAAGCTCATTTATAAGAAAGAGATTATAAAATTTGAAATGTCAAGATGCTGGTGAAATTGAGGGTTAACTAGACAGGATTAAGGAGGAAATATTTCGGCAAATTTCCATTTTAACAATGGCAAAGTATCCTTCGAAAGTATAGCTCGGACGTGAAACATGTATTGATTTAAAAGTCAATAACTGTATCAAGAAGATAGACATGGCTACATCTAATATTATAGAAAGCCAGCATAGACTAATCCAGCTGTTGTTTCCAGAAACAGAAGTTCTACGGTGTGAAAGATTTCCTATAGAAAGCTTTCTGTAATGAAGAATTTCCCTTCCTTCTTTCTCCTTCAATCACAGTTTTTGCTTACCAAATTCGAGAAACACCAAATTAATTAGGTAATTGCAAGGTCCACGGAGAAATTGGCAGCAAAAATAGTTAGGAATGGTCAAAGGCTAATCTGTCTCCCTCTCAGAAGCATGGGATGTATACCTTCCGCATTATCATATCTGATATTTTTATCCTGGCTCCACTATTCTGCCAAAACAGAATGCTATACATTAAAAAAATAAAAATGATAACAATAATACAGAATAACATGGATCATTTGTTGGGTAAAAACCTGGCTAATCTCCATTATATTTCTCCCGCCACGATCAACAACCAATCCAATAAATTCGTCAGCAACACCAGTCGTCACAGAGTTAGGACGATCGTTTTGGAAAATATCAGAAGGCCTTCTATCAATCACAATCAACATACTCTTTAATTATACTTTATACCATACAAATGTTTACAGAACATCACCAAAACATAAAGAGATATTGATGATAGAATTCGTAACGAGGAGCTGGATGCATATATCAAGTCCTCAGCAACAATTCGATGATTCAACTTGGAGAATAATAATGATTAATTAACCAAGAAGGTTAATAAATTCGCACTTATTGTAAATGCAAAAAAAAAAAAAAAGTTAAGGTCAATTAGCACACAAAATTAATTAGGCCATCAAACACCTATTTAATAATAATCGATCAATGTAAGACCGTCAGGAGACCTGTTGCCTATATTTCCAGTGTCTGCGAAAGAGTCTCCGAAGACAAAAAGCTTTGGCCTTTTATTGTCTTCATATCCTGCAATTCATAGGTTTAATGTTCGTTTAAATTAATTGAGGACTAGCAGAGCAGAAAATTAATGTTGAAATAAGAAAAAATAACTTCGAATAAATTGTACAGATAGAAAGGAGGGAAACTAGCAGCAAAAGAGCAAAAAATTTCCTTTGAACTAGAGAATTTTGTAGATGGGGTCAAGTTTTCGGAGAAAGACATGTTCGGTTTTTACAGCTATGGTTTTATTTATGGTTATAAAGCTCATTGACAGAAATTCCTACAATTTTTTATGCGTGGTTTTTAATTTGCTAGTTTTGGTGAGTTACATAATAACACCCATTGTTCCAACAGCTGACAGATACTCTGGAGGAACGCCTTCCATCCGAACTCGTGCTGCTTTCTTGCGTACGATTTTACAGGGACAGCTCCTCCAAGATAAGGTCACTGTTCTACTCGATATGACGAGTTTATGTATTTTCAAACCAATTTTAAACTGCCAACACAGTTTTGTGATTTTGTCTATTTTGCCTTTTCTTATATCGTTAGTTTGGATCACCATTCTTTAAAAAAAACAAAGAAACGAAGGTTGTGTTAGCATAGGACGCAGTGAAGGTATCTGAAGATGAAGTAAAAATGCTTTTGAAACCTGCGACCATCATCTTTTATTGTCAAATTGCGAGTCAGCTTCCTCTTGTTCATCTCATAGTTTCCCACAATAGAGGAAAATATACTACAAAACAAAAGACCCTCCATTGCAAAGATTACTGGAGGGATATAAGATGGCGAGTTCAGATTCTCAATAAGAACGTCGGATGTAGGAGAAAACGGATGCAAGTTGGATGAGATTTTACAGAATTTTGAGTGCTTCCGGAGAGCCTTCAACATCATCAATCTGCAAGCAAAAGGCATGCAGTCAACGTAAACTGCATATTTACAGGGAACTATTTACTAATTTTGATAGCATAGATGGTGCTGTCATCAACGAGCGCACCAAATTAACTTAAAAACTATTGGCTTGTTGAAGAAAAATTATGGAAGAAAAAAGGGGATATGTGTCATGGCACAACCACTCTAGGGATTAATTGAACTAGTATAGAAAGTTCGGAATAGAATATCCCCAATAACAGAAAATAATAATAATAATAATAATAATAATAAATTAAATGCACTTGCGCGCTCTCAAGTAGACTTAATAAAGCATGCCGTCAAAGGAAGTGATAATCCGTGCATGCATGGAACTGAATTCAATTTGTGCAAGAATAGAAGACTGTTCAGTACTATGTCAACCACGCAGATGGCGTCACCCTCCGCTAGCAGCGATGCAACGACGGTGTGCTTCCATACACCAGAATTAACAGGCACCAAGATTTTACTTTAATGTACGTAAGTCAGATATTCGAACAAGGTTTTTGAGGACAGATCTATTTAGATTCAATGATGGAAAGTGTTGGGAAAATAAATTTAATTCAAGTGTAACAGAAATAATTAAGAAATATTGACTCATCAACAAACCAGTTTGTCGTGCAAGCTTATATAGCCCATTGTTAGCATACAAGCGGAGTAGACAGATATCTGTGTGCATGAATCAGTACCGTTAGCGGACAAACTTGCGCTCAAGGAGACAATCGTTAGCATAAATCAAGGCAGGACAGCTACCAGTACATGGGAAATTAGTACGTGAATTCAAAAGTGGAGTGGGAAGTGCATGCTCCTGCTCTGTTTTCCCAAGTCAAATATTACGAGACACTTCTTCTAAGTCAAAAAAGATAGAGCTTGTATTCTATTGCATATAGACAGAAACAGACAGTCCTCCACAGGACGGCCACCCCACCACCAACACCCCTCCTTTAGTACTCAAGATCATTTACTAACAAATGAGACCTGGCACTAGAAATATTTTAAGAAATTTTCAAAAACCATGTCCCGTCACCTTTACAATTAATTCAAAAATCTTGCCTTGTTATCGTTACAATGCCTATATATAGGGTTACCACTTCAAGCATTTCCAGCCAACAAAGCATACTTGTTCCTCTTACAGTGAGTGACACGCATAAACACATACATTGAGCCGTGCTCGAGAGAATAATCTGGAAATGGCAAGTCCAAGACTGTTAGGGACTGCTTTCCTGGTCTTGCTTATTGTAGACATTGCCTTTGCTGCTAGGACACTACAGGCAATCAGTGGAGGTGGAGGTGGAGGTGGAGGGAAGGGCGGAGGTGGTGGTGGTGGTTCTGGATCAGGACACGGGTCAGGTTATGGTTCAGGGTCTGGGTACGGGGCTGGTAAAGGACATGGTGCTGGTGGTCGAGGAGGTGGTGGAGGAGGAGGCGGTGGCGGTGGTGGAGGTGGCGGTAGTGGAAGGGGGTCAGGTTCTGGCTATGGGTCCGGTAGCGGCTCAGGCTATGGTTCTGGTAGTGGGATAGGTGCTGGTGGAGGTGGAGGTGGTGGCGGAGGTGGTGGCGGTGGAGGTCACGGCAGTGGATCCGGAAGCGGGTCGGGCTATGGAAGTGGGTCGGGCTATGGAAGTGGAAGTGGCCGTGGCAGGGGCGGGCATGCAAGTGGTGGAGGAGGAGGAGGTGGAGGTGGAGGCGGAGGGGGAGGCGGAGGTGGTGGAGGTCATGGCAGTGGATCCGGAAGTGGGTCGGGAAGTGGAAGTGGAAGTGGAAGTGGGAATGGAGGTGGAGGAGGAGGAGGTGGTGGTGGTGGCGGTGGAGGAGGAGAAGTGGAAGCGGTGGTGGCAAGGGTGGGCATGGAAGTGGAGGAGGAGGAGGAGAAGGAGGTGGTGGGGGTGGAGGAGGAGGATCTGGCTCTGGCTCTGGCTCTGGCTCTGGCTATGGTAGCGGGTCAGGTTATGGCTCTGGATATGGAGGAGGGAAAGGTAAAAGATTGCCGTGAACACAAAATTAGTTACCTTTTCTTTTATATAACACCATTCACAGTCATTTGTATTCCGAAATAAAATTGCAGGAGCTCACTCATGCATGAACATAGCATGTTGGCGAGTGATTGCAACTGTGCATGCGTGTATCGCTATCAATAAAGTCACCTTTGCAAATGCTATAAATAAAAGAAAATATTTTAATTACCCTGTATATTTTATAGATAATTTCTCTGCAAACCCTAATCAAAAGTGAATGTTTCGTTTCCATAAGAACGGGATTTCATCACAAAAAAGGACTTCAAATAAAATTAAAAGAAATGAGCTTGAACTTTCGAGAATTGAAAATTTCCTCCCCGGCCGGTCCCAAGAATGGCCGTGTTCAATTCGCATGCAGTGAAAAAGCAACGTCCCAAGTGAAAATAGTGAACCTCAATACATACTGCCAAGAAGAATTCCTAAGTACATTTCTGACCTCGTTAATGATCCATCACCGAGGCGGTCAAAAGGCCATTGGAAGCTGCAAAGCCAGTTTTACAACCAATGAACCGCCGTCCGCTCAGCAAATATTCTGAAATGCTACTTAGACAAGTCCTCTTGGAGTTTCATAAAATGGCCATTCTCAGAATGAGAAACGTCTGACAAATAATACAGTATCAGAAAAGCCTACCAAGTGATAAAGAATCAATCGCATCCTGTCTCAGCATTCGATGCTTATGTTCTTCAGACAAGCTATATATAATTTCCTCCACTGCTGAGTTTATTGCTAAATTTTTTAGATCTCAGCGTTCAAGCCCATTTATAAGAAAGAGATCACAAAATCTGAAATGACAAGATGCTGGTGCAGTTTGGGGTTAGCTAGACACGATTGGGAAGGAAATATTTTGGCAAATTCCATTTTAACAATGGCAAAGTATCCTTTGAAAGGACAGCTCGAACGTAAAACTTTTATTGATTTAAAAGTCACTGACCGTATCAAGAAGATATGCATGGCTACATCTAATATTATGACTAGTCTACACAGACTAATCCAACAACTGTTTCCAGAAACAGAAGTTGTGGCGTGTGAAGAGTTTCCTGTAGAAACCTCTCTATAACGAAGAATTTTCCTTCCTTCCTTCCTTCTTCTTCCATCACAGTTTTTCCATACCAAATTCCAGAAACACCAGCTCGATTAGGCAAATTCGAAGCTTATATCCACTACCCACCCAGACTTCACACTCTATTGAAGCCAGCTCCCTGTTGTTCATCTCGTAGTTTCCCACGATAGAGGAAAATTTACGGAAAAACCCAAATAGAAGATTACTGGAGGGACAACTTCTGATTCTCGATAAGAATGTCAGATATAGAAGAAAACGGAAGCAAGCTGGATGAAATTTTACAGATTTTTTAGTGCTTCTGGAGAGCCTTTAACATCGCCAACATGCAAGCAAAACGCACGCAGCCAACATAAACTGCATATTCACAAGGACCTATTGTCATCGGAAAGAAAAACAAAGCAAAATATAGGTCTTAGAAATGCATCCCAAGAATCGGTTCTCTTCCAATAAAATATATGATATATTAAATCAAAATAAAGAAGAACTAATTGTTTATTATATGATATCCAACGAAATTTATGGTGCGCTGGGAGAGAATAATTCAATTGGAGGTGGAGGTGGAGGATCTGGATCAGGCTATGGAAGTGGGTCAGGGTATGGAAGTGGCGGTGTTGGTAGAGGAGGAGGAGCTAGGAGGAGGTGGTGGTGGTGGAGGAGGAGGAGGAGGATCTAGCTCTGGTTCTGGCTATGGTAGCGGGTCAATAATATATATATAAGTATCATTCTATCCGTCGATAGCATGATGAATAAAATTGCAGCAGCATCACCAATGCATATTGGTCAGGTGCCACCTGCCTGCATACAAGTTGAAGCACCATCATTTTTATTAGATTTTCACATTACATGAATAAAAGGCATTTACTCTCAAATTTTATATTTTATCCGTCTCCAACCCTAATTTGAATAAATACCTTCAATGATTTATTAAAAATAAAGACTTTTCATGAAGTGAAAAATTCCTCCCAAAATACTAATGAGTGTGAGGTTATAATTTAAATGCTACCGAGTGAGTGTCAAGTTAATTTAAGATTTAATTGATTAGAACTGAGTTTTTAAAAAAAAACCTAAATGATTTGATTGAAAATAAATAGGTTGAAATTAAAATTAAAAAACAAATTCACAGGTAAAAAAACCTCAAAACAGCATAAATACATGAAACTGAAAGTGACCTAGTACGGTTTTTCATTTTTCCAGGAATTGAAGAGCCCCAATCAAGTTCAAATCTTCACGTTTGATCAAAATGAAAAGGATTATACAAAACAAGGTTGTCCCTTTTAAGAAAGAGGAAATAAATAAATAAATAAAAACGAAAGGTGCTTTATTAGCATATATACTAGCTAGAGAGGATAATAAACTTTGTAAAAGAAAATTAAGACAATAATATATAAATTCGCTTTGTTAAAGTCTCTACATCCTGCACATCAATGAAATCAAGATTGTTAGGAGCAGGATCTGTCACTACTTTGATTTAATTGTTGCTAGACCTATTACTGAAGAAAAGAGCAAGAGGTGATAAGCTAGTTCGAATTGTTATAGAAATGAACAAGAAGCGAACAAAATTAAAGAAAAATGTTGTAATATAGAGAAAAAAAATGTTTCTGTGTATTATTCACTGCTTACATTCCCAGCACTATTACATTCATTTTATATGAACTAAATGTGAGAAGCTTGGTTATGTAATCTAATCAATATTAATAAACTTTGTCAATTGTCTAAACATATTAACAAACTTGTTAACCATTATATTCTTTATTCTCTTGACAAATGGCAGTAGCAGAGCCCTTGATATTTTGACATCCCCCCTCAATCGCAGACTTGAAGGAACCAAGCATAAGATTGGAATAGTGATGCTGAAATAAAGGAGTGGAAAGACCTTTAGTTACAATAAGACCTTTAGTTACAATATCATCATCTTCAAAATAAATCTCTACTGTAGAAAGATGGTCTCGAACATTTTTTATATTCACCTTCAAGTTCAAAACCTGCATCAAACCTATTTGGCTACTTTCTTGATTTATCAACAAATCCTAAAATACAATGACTCTCAAGTAGCATTTGCATCCGAAAATTCTATATGAGATAATTTATGTCATCTAGTTTAACTACTATAACAGTTGAAACCGTAAAAAATAAACTGGTAATATGAGATGAATAATTTGAAATTGAGAAGTAGTCACTATTTTTTGAGTTCAAGAGACAAAGTGGAAGAGAATCACATATTTGAGAAGAGAGTTGAAGAAGAATTTTTTTAATTTGACAATATATCAAACAGATGATAGACAAATTGATTATTATGAAAGAATTGGTTTAATAAGACGATAATAATACTAGAAATATAAATTAGCAAGATATTAGAAGCTTTGAAGTTGAGAAGTAGTTACCATTTTTTGGAGTTCAAGAGACAGAGAGGAAAAGAATAGCAAATTTGAGAAGAGAGTTGAAGAAGAATTTTTTTAATTTGACAATATATCATACAGATGATAGGCAAATTGATTATTATAAAAGAATTGGTTTAATAAGACGATAATAATACCAAAAATAGAGATTGGTAAGATATTAGAAGTAAAGAAATCACAAGATCACAAGATATTAACAATCCTAAGCTCTGATACCATGATAAGCTAGTAAGAATTATTACAGAAATAAATAAGAAGCGAAAAAAATAGAAATAGATACTGCAATGCAGAGGAAGAAGAAAATATTTATGTGTATTATTCATTACTTACATTCCTAACATCGTTACATTTATTTTATATGAACTAAATGTAACCATATTAATAAAATTATCAGCCATTATATTCTTTATATTCTTTATTCTCTTGACATGTGGTAACAGCATAGGGTAAGGATGAAAGGAGGCTAGGGAGACTAATGATGAAAGTTTTAAAAAACTTGAACTTTTTATTTATATAAACTTTGTATAAAAGTAATTTTACCAAGTTATTTATATAATTCAAGTGGAGTTCTGGCAAGGTAGGATAATAATCATGAACTATTTAATCTTAATTTTTTCATTTTAATTATTACTCAAACTTAAATGATTAAAAATATTTTTTATGCATTTGAATTAATTTGAATTAAATTGAGTTTAAATTTAGGATTTTATAAGTTATCGATTTAAAAAATACACTTTAATTTAATAGATTCATTTGAGTTTTTTTAACTTATATTTTTTTAAATTTTATTATTTAATATTTATTTAATTCAGTAATTTTTTCTGTTTATTTTTTATTAAATTTTATTCTTCAATTGAACTCCGTTACTTTTTTTATTAAATTTTTTACTAATTTTTTAAAATAATTTGAGGTATTTTATCATTTAAATTTTAATTATTAGATAATTAAGTTATATATTTTTATAAAATTTACTTTTTAGATTATATTTATTTTCTTCAATTTTATTCGGGCAAAATTTTTTTCAAGTCCGACGGTGAGTATTATAACCAGCAACAACTGCCAACGGCAATGCGTGAATAACCCGCCAGCTGCTAATTAATGCATATTTATTGCACGCCACCCCTTTTTACTCTCCACCCCATGTTAATTGTCAATTGTCAATCGTCAATCCTTGATTAATCAACCCACTTGTCATAATCTAATTGTGGAAATCAATTAGTCGTGTCCATTTCCTTCTTAAACTCCTCTGTTTCCATACAAATCTGTTTATGGCTACTAAAACAATCCAGCAGTGACTAAATTAATTAAAAGATTAATTTAATGCAAATAAAAACAAGGCAGAATAAGTATATCAGAGAAATGACACCTAACTTAAGTGGATTGAAGTTGAAGAGGAAATCTGGGCGTTTGTAGATCAGATCGAGGATGTTTGTGGATTTGACTGGAGGAAACGCAGGATAACGACGACGACGACGGATTAGACGGTATTGATTCTTTAAAAAGACAAATCAAAGACTATAGCTAGCTGTATTCTTTTTTATAGCGAAAAGACAAGGTAAAAGAGTAAAGGAGATTAAAAATTTAATTATCCCTGTGAAAAAATAATTCATCAAACAATTTTTTATTTCAGTTAAATTCTTGATATTTCAAATGTCTTAATTGAGTTTTTGGTCTTGACTCTTCACAAAGTTCTTCGTTAAATTCCCTATAAAAGGAGGATTTTTTTCTACACATATATGTATTATTTGGACGAATTCGTTAGCAGGTATACACATAGAAATCAATTCGGAATCTCTAAAAACAATACCCTAAAATCATTCATATCAAGAATCCCTAATACTTGTTTCAATTGTTGTGGGTGACCTACACACAATACATCATGTGGTAATGGCTTCTTCTTTTTTTTCCAATTCAAAAATTAAAAAAAAATTATGTAATTAGTTAAATAACTCTTGCTTTTTATATTGAGCTCCACGTGTAATTACAGTTTAAATCTTAATTTTTTAAAGGTTAGAATAGTTATTTTATATGTAAAAAATAATCTCAAAACGATTTTAACTAAAAATATTTAAAAAAATATTTTTTTTGTTATCTTCACTCTCGAAACTCTAGCACACCAATTCTATCTCCCTGGTAGAGTGTTAATGAAGCATTCTCTAACATCCAATCTGCTATTGGAGAGGAACCTTCGAGAGCACCTACAGCCAGCCATTGTTGACAAATGTCGCCATAATAAACAACGAATTATACAGTACCTAATCCATTTGTGCATTTCAAATGCACAAGTGCTTGGAAGTTGCGGTTCATTCACGGTACTTGCTTGATAGTCAGAAATTGACGATAGCTCATTTCCATTTTGATAAAGGAAATGATCATGGCTAGGTAGCATGCTATGCAAATGGGCGATTCTCGACTGCGAGTTGGTACTGGGTGCTTGTGGCCGGTGATTTTCCGGGTATTCTGGAGAGTAGAGTATGGGATTGAGAAGTACAATGGGAGCTAGATACATGTGATTTGACAACAATTTATTCACATTAATTCATGGATTATTTTATAGAAAAACATGAGAAGAATGCCTACTAATTTTGATGGCGTAGATAGTGTTTGTGGCCTGTGATTTTCCGGGTACGCTGGAGAGTGAGTATGGAATTGAGAAGTTTATTGGGAGCTTAGATATATTACAACAATTTATTCACATTAATTTATTCACTAATTTTGATAGCATAGATGGTGCCCTCATCAACGAGCGCACCAAAGTTAAAAACTATTGGCTTGTTGAAGAAAAATTGTGGAAGAAAAAAGAGAGGATATGTGTCATGGCACAACCACTCTAGCGATTGATTAATTAATTGAAGTAGTATAGATAGTTGATTAATTAATTGAAGTAGTATAGATAGTTCGGAATAGAAGATCCCCAATAACAGAAAATAATAATAATAAATTATATGTACTTGCACTCTCACGTAGACTTAATAAAGCATGCCGTCAAAGGAAGTGATAATCCGTGCATGCATGGAACTGAATTCAATTTGTGCAAGAATAGAAGACTGTTCAGTACTATGTCAACCACGCAGATCGCGTCACCCTCCGCTAGCAGCGATGCAACGACGGTGTGCTTCCATGCACCAGAATTAACAGGCACCAAGATTTTAGTTTAAAGGACATAAGTCAGACATTCGAACACGGTTTTTGAGGACAGATATCTGTAGATTCAATGATGGAAAATGTTGGGAAAATAAATTTAATTCAAGCGTAACAGAAATAATTAAGAAATATTGACTGATCAACAACCCAGTTTGTCGTGCAAGCTTACATAGCCCATTGTTAGCATACACGCGGAGTAGACAGATATCTGTGTGCATGAATCAGTACCGTTAGCGGACAAACTTGTGCTCAAGGAGACAATCGGTAGCATAAATCAAGGCAGGACAGCTACCAGTACATGGGAAATTAATACGTGAATTCAAAAGTGGAGTGGGAAGTGCATGCTCCTGCTCCGTTTGCCCAAGTCAAATATTACGAGACACTTCTTCTAAGTCAAAAAAGATAGAGCTTGTATTCTATTGCATATAGACAGAAACAGACAGTCCACAGGACCGCCACCCCACCACCAACACCCCTCCATTAGTACTCAAGATCACTTACTAACAAATGAGACCTGGCACTGGAAATATTTTAAGAAACTTTTCAAAAACCATGTCTCGTCACCTTTACAATTAATTCAAAAATCTTGCCTTGTTATCGTTACAATGCCTATATATAGGGTTGCCACTTCAAGCGTTTCCAGCCAACAAAGCATACTTGTTCCTCTTACAGTGAGTGACACGCATAAACATATACATTGACCCGTGCTCGAGAGAATAATCTGGAAATGGCAAGTCCAAGACTGTTAGGGACTGCTTTCCTGGTCTTGCTTATTGTAGACATCGCCTACGCTGCCAGGACACTACAGGCAATCAGTGGAGGTGGAGGTGGAGGTGGAGGTGGAGGGAAGGGCGGAGGTGGTGGTGGTGGTTCTGGATCAGGACACGGGTCAGGTCATGGTTCTGGGTCTGGATACGGGGCTGGTAAAGGACATGGTGCTGGTGGTCGAGGAGGAGGTGGAGGAGGAGGCGGTGGCGGTGGTGGAGGCGGCGGTAGTGGAAAGGGGTCAGGTTCTGGCTATGGGTCCGGTAGCGGCTCAGGCTATGGTTCTGGTGGTGGGATAGGTGCTGGTGAAGGTGGCGGTGGTGGCGGAGGTGGTGGAGGTGGAGGTGGTGGCGGTGGAGGTCACGGAAGTGAATCCGGAAGTGGGTCGGGCTATGGAAGTGGGTCAGGCTATGGAAGTGGAAGTGGAAGTGGCCGTGGCAGGGGCGGGCATGCAAGTGGTGGAGGAGGAGGAGGTGGAGGCGGAGGCGGAGGGGGAGGCGGAGGTGGTGGAGGTCACGGCAGTGGATCCGGAAGCGGATCAGGAAGTGGAAGTGGAAGTGGAAGTGGAAGTGGCAGGAATGGAAGAGGTGGAGGAGGAGGAGGAGGAGGTGGGGGTGGCGGGGGTGGCGGTGGAGGAGGATCTGGCTCTGGCTCTGGCTCTGGTAGCGGGTCAGGTTATGGCTCTGGGTATGGAGGAGGGAAAGGCAAAAGCTTGCCGTGAACACGAAGGTTACCTTTTCTCTTATATAACACCATTCACAGTGGTATTCCAAAATAAAATTGCAGGAGCTCTCACACATGCATGAACATAGCATGTTGGCGAGTGATTGCAACTGTGCATGCGTGTATCGCTCTCAATAAAGTCACCTTGCAAATGCTATAAATAAAAGAACACATTTTAATTACCCTGTATATTTTATAGATAATTTCTCTGCAAACCCTAATCAAAAGTGAATGTTTCGTTTCCATAAGAACGGGATTTCATCTCAAAAAAGGACTTCAAGTAATATTAAAAGAAATGAGCTTGAACTTTCGAGAATTGAAAATTTCCTCCCCGGCCGGTCCCAAGAATGGCAGTGTTCAATTCGCATGCAGTGAAAAAGCCACGTCCCAAGTGAAAATAGTGAACCTCAATACATGACTGCCAAGAAGAATTCCCAAGTACATTTCTGACCTCGTTAACGATCCATCACCGAAGGCGGCCAAAAGGCCACTGGAAGCTGCAAAGCCAGTTTTACAACCAATGAACCACCAGTAGGTACGCTCAACAAATATTCTGAAATGCTACTTAGACAAGTCCTGTTGGAGTTTCATAAAATGATCATTCTCAGAATAAGAAAGGTCTGACAAATAATACAGGATCAGAAAAGCCTGCCAAGTGATATAGAATCAATCACATCCTGTGTCAGCATTCGATTCTTACGTTCTTCAGACAAGCTATATATAATTTCCTCCACTGCTGAGTTTATTGCTAAAAATTTTAGATTTCAGCGCTCAAGCCCATTTATAAGAAAGAGATTACAAGATTTGAAATGACAAGATGCTGGTGCAGTTTGGGGTTAGCTAGACACGATTGGGAAGGAAATATTTCGGCAAATTCCATTTTAACAATGGCAAAGTATCCTTTGAAAGGATAGCTCCAACGTAAAACTTGTATTGATTTAAAAGTCAGTGACCGTATCAAGAAGATATACATGGCTACATCTAAAATTATGACAAGTCAACACAGACTAATCCAACAACTGTTTCGAGAAACAGAAGTTGTGGCGTGTGAAGAGTTTCCTGTAGAAACCTCTCTATAACGAAGAATTTTCCTTCCTTCCTTCCTTCCTTCCTTATTAGCATATATAGGATCACTACTAAAAAACGAGGTTATTAGCATCAGATTTTAGCATATAATTTCAGCAACAGATTTGTAATGGATTACATATACATTATTTTTTTAATATTAGCAACAGAAAATTTGTTGCTAAAAGCAACATACGATATATTTTCTGTTACTAAATAAAATAATTATTTAAATTTTAATATAAAACTAAAACTTTTATCACCCCCCGGAAACCGTTTATTTATATGATTTTCTTTTATACCAAACTTCTTATTTTCTTTTCATTTATATTCAACATCCCTAACTTTTATTTTCATCTTCTTCTCTCTCATCTCAATAGATTCAGTCTTTTTCTATAAATCATTAAATTTCTGTAAATCATTAAAAACACAGACTCATGGCAACATCCCTCTAAACCCATCATTATTATCATTGAACATCTTAATTTATCCTCTTTTTTTATATACAAGTTGTGTTTTGCATTCTTTTCTTCAATAATTTAGATAATTAATTTTAGGATTTAATTTTTTTATTACAATTTAACTTACATTGAAAAGTTTTTATCTAACTTTTCCAACCTTAGATGTTCTTCTGTTGTGTAAATTTCATCTCGCTCTCGGTCTAGAACTCAAGAGCACAAGTAGCAAAAACTTTTTATCAATACTGTGAGTAATGGTTTTAGACTATTCCTTCAAGAAAATAAGGGTTTATTAAATATTTTTACCATGATTTATAACCTAATTAATTATACATGTTTAATTAAAAATTTATCAAAATCTCCAATTTAATTTGTAATTTGTAGGGTTACGGAAAATGCTGCATTTGTTTCTTTCTGCGGGGATATTGACTTAACAGCCTTCAGTGAGAATCCAAATTTGAAAGGCACATGGGCTCGTCAGGTTCGTGATATGCTGGAGAATGAGGAGAAGAATGAAAATGCTGAATTCCGAGTGAAGGAGGTTGAGTACATTCAAGCAGAGGTAGGTCCCTTTTAAATTCTTATTTTTGTACATCTTTTGTTCTCTCTGTTTCTTCAATTTATTTTAAGCTTGCTTATATTCAGCTGAGGGTGTGTTTATTTGTGTTTAGCTTGAATATATCTAGTTGGTGATGTTGACTTCAAAATTGTTGAAGCAGTGTCAGTCCATCTACAACTTTACTTCCACCGCAGAGGACCTGTAATCTTTATGGAATATTTCAAGGTTATGTCGTTTGTTTGACAAGGGGGTTGTTTGATAGACATATGCATTCTGTCTTACCTTTAATTCTGAGGCAATGGTGGACACTGGAGCAAGCTTTTCAACACATTTGTAAATTTTGTTGAGTGTGGATTTATTTATCTTCATTTTCAAATTTCTACATATTTCTTTTATCATTTTTTTTATTTGTTATTTGAAGAAGATGGTTTTCCTGCTGGAATCTTTGTCTAATAGGTGTACCATAAAAATCTCAATAAAAGATTCCTTAATAAGTGATTCTTGACGATAGATTTAACTTCATTTTTTTATTTAAATACATATATACAGGTGAAGATAATATATGCTGTTTTACCTGTTGGACAAGATAATCAAGGGCAACCCTTTTGGTCCAAACACTTCAATGTTATTGATTCTTTAAGTATAAACAGCAACCTGGGACACAGTGTCCGTAAAGGTATACAAATAGGACTCTGTTATGCTGTTTGCCATCAAGTTAAATGTCGTTTGAATACCTCTGCTTTTTTACGTTCCAAATTTTATCAAGCAAGGAATACAAGCTGGCAACTATTGTATTCCTGTTTCTCCTAGAATTAGCTGGTGGTTGTTTCCTGTAGAGTATTAGAGGTTCTTTTTACATTCCAGCAAGAGTCCCGTTCCAGGTAGAAAGACATGATTACTTCATGCTGTTTTTATTTTTATGCTTAGCTTCTATCCATGCCTGCTTCTTCCATGATATATATGTACATGTATCAAGAATACAGGAAACAATTTTGCATTCCTTCTTTGATATAATTGTGGAGTTTGGTTGATTTTCAACTCAATAATTATCGATGATAATGCATATATTTTTTCTAGTTTTTAACATTCCTCGACGAGGAGCTATATTGGATTTTAGGAGTAACAGCTCCACTTCATCCAAATTATTTTTAAAAAAAATAAAAAAAATAATTTTATTTTTAAAATGAAATGATAAATAGATTTCATGAAAGAATATTTTATGAATAATTTTAAATACCATGATGGAACATCAAAATATTGACAATGATATGTCAGCACCTATGACCCCATCAATATAGTCGCCTATGGCTCCTCAAATAATGACACTTATAGATCCCACATCTCTACTAATTTATTGACCTTCACCTCAACTACTATATTATAATTCATCTTACCTCGGTACACAATATCATGGTTCGTTTCCACAATAAGCATCATGTTTGTATCTTTTCATTATATTTCAACTTATTTGTATTAATGCAAGTTTAACTAAATTTGTATACTATGAATTTTATTTTTATTTCATTTATTATTAGTGATAAAGTCATTTTTAATATTAATTTATATTGTTTATATATATTCTACAACATTCAAAATATCCATAAATAAATAATTAAAAAAATTAAGTCATTTGGATAAAAAAAATTAATTTAATAAAAATAACATAGTTAGCAACAGATTTTTCGTTGCTGATTATAAATAATTCATCAATCAGCATCAGCAACGAAAAATCCATTGTTAATATATGCAACAAATTATTTGCTTCTGATTTGTGAGCATCGGATTATCCATTACTGATTTTTCAGCAACAGAATTTTCATTGCTGAAAAATCAGCAATGAAAAATCTATATTTGATATTTTTCATTGTTGATTTCGATGCTAAATTTTTTTAGCAATGAATTTTAGTTTTATTTGCAATGGATTAGTTGATTGCTAATTACTATATTTTTTTAGTTGTGGATACCTTCCACGTTATCATGTCCTTAACTGCATGGATGGTCTTATATGATCTTGTGATTGTGATTTTCCTACTAAAGAGTACAAAAAAAAAACTAAACAATTTTTATGCTGGCATTTTGCTACGAGATATGAAATTATAGCTTTACGTGCCAATAATATTTGGTTCTTGGTTCCATTAGAGCTCTTTATAAATGTTCTAGGTTATTGTTGAGTTTACAAAATCAAGTATCGAGTCGATAGTGTTGTTGATCGCTACAAAACGTGCTTAGTTGTGCAAGGGTTCACTCAACAAAAAGATATTGACCACTCAAAAACCTTTAATTTTATTGTTAAGCCAAGTATTATTCGGCTCATGCTCGCCATTATCATCTGTAACCATTGGTAGATTCGTCAATTTGATATTCATAATACTTTTCTCAATGGTTCAATCTAAGAGATTGTTTGTATGCAATAGCCCACGAGTTTTATTGACCCTGCCCTACCAGTTCATGTTTGTCATGTTCACAAGTCCCTATATGGTCTGCGGGCTTGGTACACACGATTAAGTCACTTTCTTTTGTCGATTGGCTTTCACACTTTCAAGGTTGATACCTTCTTATTTATTCTAGTTGTGAATCATGATATTTTCTATCTGCTTGTTTATATAGATGATATTCTACTCACGGGTAATAATTTCACTTTGATTCAAATCTTTTTTATTCTACTGAATTTAGAATTTAAACTCAAAAACCTAGAAAATGCTTGTTATTTTTTTAGAATTGAGGTCACTCCCACCAGAATGAGTCACATGCTTAGTCCATACAAATATGCTCTTGATATCCTTAGTTGAGCTAGTATATTATCTTGCAAACTTGCTGATACATCAATTTTTGCTTCAAAGATCGACCAACAAACTAGTGATTTATACTCGAATCTCACTTGTTATCAACAAATTATTGATAATTTTCAATATTTTATATTTACTAGACCAAATATTTGTTATGTTGTCAATAAAATTTGTTAATTTATGCATACTTCTTCGGCGAGTCATTAAGCTGCTGTGAAATGTGTTATACAATACTTGAAAAGTAGGTTTTCATTTGATATTCACCTTTCTCCAGTGCTCCTCTTTATAACTTCATGTTTTTATTGATAGTGGTT